ACATTTCACGCAATGGTTGACGGCACAATGTATCCACTGGTACACAGTTTACTTCCAGTCAAGAGCGAACTAGTATACACAAGGTTCCTGACTTTACTCAAAGATGTATGCCACCAACACCAACTACAACTTCAGCCTACCACTATCTTCCTGGACTATGAAGTCGCCATCCGAAATGCAGCATATTCTGTATTTTCTGGCTTCAACGCAAAAGTTTTTTCCACTACACACAATGCATCTGGAGAAAAGCACAAGAAACAGGGATTCAGGTTCCATACAAGAAAGACAACAACATTCATCAACTAGTAAGCCGTGTCGCTGTCCTTTCACATGTACCTTCTTCTGAGGTCGGAGATGTGTGGTTTAATGCCCTAACCGACATAGATCAGATTGATACTAACATCAACTACATGTCCTTTACAGACTATGTAACAACATACTGGGTCGAACAGAACAGTCACCTTTGGAACCATTACACAACACAGAGATCGAGGACTACACATCTAGAGGGATGGCACAGCAAGCTGAAAAACATGTCCAGGACCCACATCCAAATGATCAGAATGCAGCCGGTGGGAAGAGACTGGCCCAAAAACGAAAGTATGTCATAATCAACAACAGATTAGAAGAGCTTAAGGTTAGACACCACAACCAGGAAGTCATAGCAGTACAGTTTGGTGATGCAGCCTCCCACCTTCTTCACGTTGAATAGATTATTAAACTTTAATAGACTTATATACAGTGAATTTCTTATGTGTGTGCTACAATGTATTATTTGTTTTAGTGCTGTTAACTTGTATTGCATGCATTGTTTGTTTCATATTATAATGCTTGCTTGAATCAACTGTTGAATTTGTGTTATAAAAGAAAAAATAATTTACTTATATTTGTTTCCATTTCTTTCATATTTATTTTAATCAAAAACACAGAATTCATACACACACAAAAATAACCTATTACCTATCCAAAAAACACTTGTCAATTAATAGTTGATTAAACAATGTTTATACAATAAAATCCTTTGTTTGCACAAGTTTTCCCCGTATTCCCACTTGAAATTTTAACTTTTCTTACCAGATTTATAAAAAGTGGGAATAGGAGGAATGAACCGGGAGATTAGGGGAAGAACAATAGATGTTGCTACTGCAAAATATGTTGTTTTAGTCATTAGTGTCTAATTAGGTCACAGGTAACTTTACCTGTGGAAATTTAATAAAAATAATAATTTATATGAAATTTATGTAAAAAAATGGGGTATTTTTGTTGTTGTTTGAAAACATGTATCAAGTATTATAATTAAGTGTATCTAATATGGTATTTCTTGAAAATAAAATTATTTAAAAGAAAAGGTAGTAAAAGCAATCAGTAGTCTGGAAAATAAGATTATTTAAAAGAAAAAGTAATAAAATGATTTAAAAGTCTGGAAAAAAACTAGTTAAAAGAAAAGGACTGGTAGTTAATCATTTAAATTAGTAACCAACACTTTCAACTTTAGCCTTAAAGGTTTAATCAATTTCATTATTTGAATAAATTATGGTTTTTTAAACAAAAACAGAAGGTCCAGAAGTTGGCATAGTAAACTGAAGACGTTAGTCAATGCACCTCACACAAACATCTTCAGCATGATCAAGGTGTTGAGACAAGAAGAAGCCTTCCATTCTCTCACACTTATCCAACACAGAGCCAGTGGAAAAGAAAGAGAAACTACAGGGAAATAGATGACTTGATATTTTGGTCTTAGATGCATGATTTTTTTTAATTAGTTGTTATTGGCTTTGAACTAGCTGTCAGTAACTGCGAGTACTCTCAGAACTGTACTTAGTGTCATTTTATTGTGGGGATGTATAAGTAACCGTCCACGTCCACTCTGTGTTTTTGTTAGATATATTGCTATTTGTATCTATCTGATGAGTTAAGCCTTTTTCAACTGATTTTTATGGTTTGTTCTTATGTTGAACTATTACACCACTGTCCCATGTTAGTGGAGGGTTGGCGCCTTCAAACGAGTTTAACCCCGCTACATTCTGTATGTGCCTGTCCCAAGTCAGGAGCCTGTTATTCACTGGTTGACTATGTGGATTGGGCTATGTTCATTGTTGAAGGCTGTGCGGTGACCTAAATTTGTTAATTTCTGTGTCATTTGGTCTCTTGTGAAGCGTTGTCTCATTTGCAATCATACCACATCTTTCTTATTTTTATATTCAAACACTAAAAACAAGGTTACAGAATGATTAACTTATGCCAGTCTTGTTTGGAGATGCCACTTCTCATCTCCTGCACATTGATTTAAACTTTGTATTCTCTTGTTTGTTTAATTTAGTGCAATGTATTACTGTGTTAGTGCTCTGTTTTAATGTCAATTTAGTGTACTTTTTGGTGCTTTGTTTCAATGAATATGTAGTGTAATTCAACATTTAGTGCTTTGTTTCAAAGAATAATTACTTCAATTGTAATATATCTATATTTCAATTGATATTATTTACTTGTATATATTAATGTTTTCACCTAAATAATTTCAATTGCTTGTGAATAACATTGTGCCTATAAATTTATTTTGTGCTTTTAAAAAATATTATTTTTACAAAATGTGCTATGAAATTATTAAATAAAATATTGTAAAAGAAACTATTCTTTTTTTTTTTAATTTTCCACAATCTTTACCTGGATTTACCTTGGTTCATTAGTTTAGTGTTGTTACAACATAATCCTACATAATTCCATTGTTTACCTAAAAATTCTGCATGGGAACTTCAACATAAAATTTTACTATTTTACCTATAAAATTCAAAATGTAGAAATAGCCAGAATAAACCGTTATAGCAGCTAACAATGGCAAGTTATATATATATATTTCAAAATGTAGTCCTCTCCTATTACTTCCTTATTCCTTCTGGTGTTTTATTTCTATTAGGCGAATGAAAGAAAAAGGTATGAGGCTTGAAAACAGGTTCACGTTGAAGAAAAAGGTTGCGTGCAATGAATTTAAATTCTTTTGTTGAATATCCCCTCTTTTTTCTGTTGTTATGCAAGGTTCGTTTTGCTCTTGTTTTCGTTTATTGTCGTATTGATGTCCCTTATGTTTTTTTTTTTTTTTCATGTTTGTGACATATAATTTTGTCTCTCGAGTTCCCTTTGCAAATAACGCTTTCTTTTTTTCTTTCAAAACAAAGCATTATAGATGTACATATCTTTGTTTCTGTGCTTAATGTATAATTATTGCTTTCAATCAATGTTACCTCTGAGATCTAAACTAAAGTGAAGTGTCTGAAACTGATTGGATAATGCATTGGAAAGAAACAATTGTAATTCGTATTTTGATGTTATATATAGTAAACACATTTTTATTGATCCCCCCTTTTTTCAATCAATTCAATACAGGAAAGGGTTTTATGTTCAAATTTATATTACACAATCACAAACTGTTTAAAAACTTATTTAACAAACATATAAATCTGGCACCTACGTTTATTTAATTTCAAGAGAGTACATCGGTTTAAAAAAACAATCACTACGAACAAAGTGCGAATCGGACACATGATTGATTTGTTTGACAGTTTAACCTGCGGTAACGTGTTTCTCTATTCTGCTTCCTATATTCATCGTCGTTGAGAAGCGAAGTTTTGCATTATATTCCCATACAGGCAATAATATCAGATTTAAAAAAAAATTGTTAACGCCGACACCTGAAAATTATAATAAGCAAGTTTTCGATTTGCACTTTGTACACAGGGTAAAGTTTAGGTTGTTAATCAAATTCTTGATTAGCTATTTAGTCCAAGGAACAATATGTGTCTTGCACACCAACACATGGTAAAACATCTGCTTCTAATGAACTATTTTCTCTTGATTATGATAACATTGTATTGCGGCATGATCTATCAAGCGTTATAGAAGCATTATCTTATTTTTTTCATTTTAATTGTAGCTAAAAATGATGTTAGGAAAAATGAGAGCAACACCGAGGTCGATTTTTATACCCAAAGACGGACGAAGATAAATCTTTTGCAAAAAGAAATACCTATCATTTATCTGTAAGAATCAATTATGCTACCTTAAGCTGTCCAATATTTTCAAGAAAGAGGAGGGTTATTCTTTAAAATATTGGACAGTTAAAGGTAACATAATGGTTTCTTACAGGTAAATGATAGTCCAATCTCTGAAATAAAGAACGGGTACAACAATAGAATGACGTCACAACAATGTTTTAACTTATGGTAAACATTATTTTTACTTAAAAAATCCGTGAAACATTATACTTTTTTTGCATCGGAAACAGTTTGCTGTCATGAGTCCGTCTCTTGTGTCAAATAATAGTATCACGTTTTCAAGGTTTTTTACGCCTCAGAATGGAATCAGATTTAACAAAAATAATTCTTTCAAGTGAAGTATGTGAGTGTTATGTATAAAGTAAAATAACAAAAATACCGAACTCCAAGGAAAATTCAAAACGGAAAGTCCCTAATCAAATGACAAAATCAAAAGCTCAAACACATCAAACGAATGGATAACAGCTGTCATATTCCTGACTTGGTACAGGCATTTTCGTATGTAGAAAATGGTGGATTAAACCTGGTTTTATAGCTAGCTAAACCTCTCACTTGTATATTATTGGAGAACTTACAAATTTCCGTTGCCACGAGGGAAAGAGTAGTTCGTTGTTACCTTTGAAAGGCATCACCGACCTAACGAACAGTGCAATGGAACGTCACAATTTTCCATCACATCATTGCAGGAAAGGCCAACCAAATCAACATATTTTTTAAAAAGAAAAACAATGATAAAATGAAAATTTTCAATGTCATAATTTTTGTATCAACAGGAAGTAGATCTATGATTGTAAATATATTATGTTTAATCATGTATCTATAAAAATTAATTTCTGTTTGGTTTTAGTAACGATGACCTTGAACTCTGGATCTTAACTTGAACTTTATAAATCAATACACCTACTTTATATTGGTAATTAAATTTCGATGAAACTAAAATATGCAGAAAAGAAATAATAATAGGATTTAGAAATCAATGATAACTATTTCCTGAAGTTGCAGTTATCATTAACCTGTACACCAATATGTTTGTGTGGAAAATTGGTTGTGTTGTGGCTTTATTGTCTGTGGTCAGGATCAAGGCTTTACGTCGTTTGTGTAAGTTAAATCAATATTTTAGATACTATAATAATAATAATTATCAGATTTCACAAATTAAAAATATCTTTTTTTAATATTTCTTAGTGCGTATGTAATGTGAACACCCAGACGAAGTCAACGCTTTGGTTGTTACTAAGCAGATATTTATTTAAAAAAATTAATTTTGAATGTAGAACAAATTCAGCAAAAGTGACATTTTCCATGAGATTACGTCAAAAATGGGGCATATTTCACAAAAAATATTTTCATTTCCATACTGTCATTTGAAAGATTGAATTAATTTTTTATTATCATATGCATGGTCAATTTCTCTAAGTCTGAGGTCTTTAAAAGAAGTGGCTGATTTTTTTCATCTTTGTGATAAGTTATGGGTATCAAATAGGCAGTTTCAGTAAGTTTACAAATCCTCAAAAACAGCTATTTGAAGAGTTCTTATTTGGCCTGTTAAATGACACAATTTCTGCCTCTATCCAATTTACCTTCTAATTACACCTTATGTAAGAATCCTGGGTTTTGATTAGTTGATAGCCAGTGTATTTTTCACCAATTTACTTTTATCAAATGGATATCGTTCTTTTTTAAACAGCGCCGGGGTATATGCAAAAAGGATATGCCTTTTTTACCCTCTCTGCCGTGGTATTTGCCAAAAAATACTCTATCCGACTGGACTCTTGTAATGTCACGATCATCAATGCGTTTTATGTCACGATCATCAATGCGTTATGTACGTTAACATCCGGTGTAATTAAACAGATATAGCATGTTCTTGAGGGGTATTTGCGAAAAATACCAGTCTTGAGAATGAATTTCCCTCGCCTTACGGCTCGCGAAATTTAACATTCTCTCGACTGGTATTTTTTCGCAAATACCCCTCCTTAACATGATATATCTGCTCAATATTATATTGATAGTTGGAATTTCCGACCTTTATCCTGGTACATCAACTTTGTGGAACCTATCTAGAATATTTATCATTAAATTGTTCTAGTACTGAATATGTATGAACAATTTAATCCGAACGTTAGTTTTTCTCGTTTATATTGTTTTACATAGGTCATATCGGGGCCTTTTATAGTTTGCTACACAGCTACTTTAGTACAAGTAATCTTGATGCACAGTTCTAAAGATGCATATCAAAAGTACATCTGTAGAGCTGTATATAAACTGTACAGCTGTAAAGCTGTATATAAACTGTACAGATGTAAAGCTGTATATAAACTGTATATCTGTAAAACTGTATATAAAAACTGTGGATAGATATCGTATCACACAAGATGCAGTGGTTGAATCTATATGTTTAGCTTATACAGATTTAAAAATGTGCAGTTAATGTACATTTTTACAGAGTTGCAGTTTGTATGCAGCTTTGAAAATGTACAGTTTATATACAGTTTTACAATTGTACATTTTATATACAGCTTAACAGATGTACAGTTGATATACAGCTTTACAGATGTACAGTTTATATAAAGCTTTACAGATGTACAGTTTATATACAGCTTTACAGATGTACATTTTGATATGCATCTTTAGAAATGTGCATCAAGATTACTTGTACTAAAGTAGCTGTGTATGCGGTATTATATTTACTCATCGATGAAGACCTTACGGTGACATATAGTTGCTAACTATTTCGTTATTTGGTCTCTGGTAAAAAGTTGGCAATCGTACCACATATTATAATTTTATGATAAACTACTGTAGAAAATCTCTAATCACAATTTAAAGTAAAGAGTCATAATTTATTTCTGATCAAAACTGGAGGTTTGCTGAATGAATTAAGTGTTCATCTTAATAAAAAAAACAAAAAAAAAAAAACAGCTGACGTGCCTTTTATTACGCATTCCTGGAATTTCAGGTTTATTTAATTTAAACAACACGTGAATCTCAGGCGAATCCTTAAAATAATAAATTATGTCAAATTTTGAAAGCAAGCTTTCAGTATGCAAGCTTTCAGTATGCAAGCTTTCAGTATGCAAGATGTGTGTTTATTGTGAAAGCTTTTGGTCTTTTTTATATATTGTAAAATGATGAAATGATATGGCTTTCATGGTGCGTATACACAAGGCTCGCTTGCAGATTGCTTTAAACATAATCTCGTTTGCCAGATTTTAATAACTAATATTGCTGGATAATATCTTTTCTCTTCTCTTGTAATTAAAGCGAAGCGTTGTGATGACATAGCAATTATAGGTGCCGGTATAGCTGGGACATATTCCGGATGGAGATTGAAAAAACTAAATCAGAAAATTACTATATATGAATACTCAGACAGAGTAGGCGGAAGGTGTTACACACAGCGATTTCCTGAAACCCCTGACATCAATGTAGAATTGGCTGCTGCAAGGTTTGTCCCTGAGAGTAAGTTTTAACTGAAAAATAATGTAAAAGAAAGAATATAATACATGTATTTGTCATTCATCAAACAAGGGTGCCATCACTGGGGCTGGAACTGATTACCCTTCCGGAGCGCCTCGGAGCGCCTCGTCTTATCTCGCCTTCGGGTGGGTTAGTGTTGCTCAATCTATAGTTGTCTTTGTAATGTTTTATGGATTTGTTTGTCTTTCGTCTTTTTTTAAGTTAACCATTTTATTCCTGTCTTCTTCACCATATCATTACTGATTGCCCTCTTGATATGAGGGTCTGGATAAGAGGGGGAGGGGTTCTATCATTTCTTTGTTCTTTAACTTTTTAGATAATTTTTCTCTATTCTTTATTAATTTTTACTCATATACTAGTAGTCTATTTATATTTCTGCACCCCACTATTCTCTATTCTTTTTTATGGCTCATGTTTTCTATTCTCTCTATTTTTGCTCTTTATTCATTTTGTCCATTATTCACTATTCTATAAACCCCATCCTGACCCTCTGAATCTTCGTCTTTTTTCTTCTTCTTGACATTGTGCATAGAATGATTTTATTAAAGTTGATAAACGACCACTCCTTTTTGATTTTTTGTCATTTGTTTATTAATGTCAAGCATTGAAAATAGGATATCATTTATATAATGACATACGACATTAAGTTAAAAACGAGGTGCATATTACAACAGTTTTATGTTAAGTGATGCCTTGCATCAAACATAGCATGGGAAAACATATTCAAAAATATTTACTACACAGTTTGAAATAGATTGCCCATAAGACCTTATGATTGTTTTTCTTCGTTTTCAAACCCGATAAAAGACACGAACCTGTTCTACATGTATATGCATTTTATTATTTTGTACGAGTCTTTATTGGACTTTTTCTTTGGTGGGTCTATATTCCAATAAAAGGGTGTGAAGATATTTTGAACACGACCAAAATTTCACGCCAATTTTTCTTAGCGTCCTACGTGATTGTGAATTATTTTTTACTTCAAATCTCAACGGATAACTTTTCCTTGTTTTCTACTGCTATCTTGTTTGAACAATCATTGTAAGTATTCATGAACAACTGTTTTTGATATGATTTAAATTCTATCAATCGTATGTATTTTTGATTATGTTTTCACGTTTTCATGAAAACAAGGTATGATAGATTCCTCTGTTATTCGGAGAACCCCTCGAGAGCTGCGAGGGTACAGTGGAATCAGTGTACACTCCCTATCGGGATTAATGGAGATGTGTCACTAACGTATTATCAACAATATCTACAAATACATTCCCCACCCCAACAAAAAGGGACTGCTAGGACACCGGGAAGTCTGTTATTATAGTGGAGGAAGCCGAAGTACTCGGAGAGAACCACCGGGACACTCGGCGGGAACAAACTGGAGGGATATCAGAAGCAGGTGCGGATCAAGCCATTTATAAAAGGGGGGAGGGGGGGTTCCAACTATATGTCCCCATTCAAATGCATTGATCGTCAAAAAAAGTGGGGTTCTTTTTTTTTACAGCAATGCAACATTTTTTTTACTCTCTTGGTTGCATTTATCTGTGAGGTTTTCACTTGTTTTGTACTTATAATAATTCCTTGTTGTTTATGACTTGTGTTCAATCGTATTGCATAATTATTGCAATACAATAGTATTAGTACAATAAACGTTTTGAATTCGTTTTTTCCTTATTTTATTTGCAAGCTGTTAGCTTCATACGCTTTTTATTACTTATTCTGAATAAATACGCTTATACGTAAATTAAAACAAATTATAATACGAGGAAATACAGATGAAATATGTCAGAAACATCACGTGCTTCAATCTAACGTTTAAAAAAGTCATTTACAACATACCTACGTTTCCTTAATTGCTATGCGAATGGAGCAATCCTAATTATTGAAATTATTTGTATCTGAAAAAAAGGGAAAACAACGAAAAATAAAAAAAATAGAATATAAATTTTTGTTTGTTCAATCATTAATGAAAGTGAAATAGTGAAATAACAATTCGCTTTCAGCAGCGAATAGAAAAGTAAAGAGGTGTGGTATGATTGCCAATGACGCAACTATCCACCAAAGTTTGGTTTAATTTTGTCAAAATAAGCTAAAAAACATTGCTCATGAATATTCACTTGCAATTGCAAGTGATTAATTCGACCTTATTGAATCCGTAATAATGTGACCTTCAATTTGAGTCGTTCGCTAGAGATAGGTTACGCATAAGCTAGGCGTGTTCACCTATTGAAAGGAAAAGAATGTAAACATTGAAAGTGAAACTATGGTAAACCTTTTGGTTGACTGATACGATCCACACAAACTCATTCTTATACAGGTAAAGTTGATGACAACAAACAAATGGAAGTTTTTAACGACCTTGACTGGCTATACAGCCCTTGCACGGTCGGCTCGGTGCCCGAAGGCGTTTGGTGAGCGTTTAAATAATTTTGTGCCATCGGTCAGGAACAGGTGGAGGACGCCATTTTGGTAGGCCGCCATCTTGGTTTTGTGAGTTGTTTTGGTTTTTCTTTTGTTGACTATTTTGATGTTATGTCTTTGCAACGGCTGCTTTCAGGGCCAGATTGGTCAGCTTGGCAGCCCGCTAACCTCGATGATGGAGTACTGGTAGATGAGTCTCGGACGTAGTATTAACGATGACAGGAAGCATTATCAGGACCAAAGTCGTGTGACAGTGAAATGGCGGTCCATCATCTAACACCTAAGATACAGCCCTCGGACGTCACTCGGCATACCACTCCCCCATCCATAATGGGTTTTGGAGTGTATGTTGACGCGGGAATTTGCCCCTACGCGGATTATAGCCTAACGTAGTCTGTACAGCGTTGGATTGGTTTCTGTCATCGAAAGTAGTAAGTCGTTGATCCATCTAACTGTAAACCCTCACCGAAGACAGCGGGTAAAGGAGAGCTGACCCAGCACGTCCGTTCAGTTGTAATGACTGAGACGTGACGAATGAATGAATGATGTATGAAAGTTGATGACTAACATATTTTCAACCTATAATATGAAATCAAACAGACCTACAAAAATCCAATTGCACGTGTTTGCTATCTACATTGCGTATTAATATATATATTTTTATGTCTATATCAGGTTATATGACCATCGGCAGTCTTCGGAAGTCACATCGATTATTAATTAGATGGCGTCTAGACTAAAATACACAATCAATGCTGATACATATTATCGATTCCATGCATCGTAAATTGTTTATTTTAGATTTTTTAGATATTATAGGTATTAGTATGTTATAAATCATATATGAGAATTTGAGTCAAATCGGTGAACTTGAATTTAACAGGTAATGCCCCTTAAAGATTCAACAAAGGTTAAAAACACAACTTGAAAATACTGATGGATTCAGTCGAGGATTATGCTAGGAAATGAGCTAATTGCGAAACGAAAGACGTAGATACCACTTTCGAATGCGTTTAAGGCTGTGGGTTCGTTGATATATATTAGAATTACAAAACTGAATGGTTCTAATACACATGCATGCTAAATCGATCTTTTAAGACCAAAATTTTGCCAAACACCATGACTAATATGTTGTTGTAGCTGCAGATAAAGCCAGAAACAACATCGTTTTTGTGATGTCAATCTCATTACACAAACTGCTTGGTAGCGGTATTAGGTATTGACAATTCACTTCGAAACTCAACATATACACCCGCGACAGTTACCATAAGAAGATATTCTGAAGTGTCATAGGTTTTTTTTCCTTTGGAAAATCAACCAAAGATGAAGATTTTCTGAATTTTGATTCACTGTATAGGATACATAATTTACACATGTGTCTTTACAAACAACGTTATATTTCTGGGTATTTCAAGTGCTACAAGAAATCACTCACTAAATTATAAATATCAATTGTATCAGCAATCAAACCTGGCTTCAAAGTTCTTGTGAAACTACATACTCTAGGGTCATGTGAATCTGATGTGGATGCTTAAAAAGTCCGAAAATCTGATTGGGTGTATACAAGCTAAGTCTCTTTCCTTTTGCAACTGTATAAAACGTTTGACTTTTCTACCCTTTGCAAAAGCATTCCTATTACAAACTAAAAGACAAATTGAAAGAATTGGTCCTGATTTGTTTCATAAAGGACGGCAAACGTAGATACAAATGTCTTGTTTTTGGGAAGGATAAATCGTACTTTGATAACAACTCTGATTAAAAAAGAAACATACTCTGAAACTGACATTATCAAAATGCTTGATTTCTTGATTGACAACCTATTTGTTTAATAGACGACGTTCACAGATAAGTTCCAATTGTCGCAACCACAATCCCATACCTGTTTATATCTACGTCATTTGGTCTGTGGTAGACAGCACATTTTCATAGTTTTTATACCCATTTCGTCAAATTCAAATTGTCCTTGAATTTCTTTCTTACCTTGGCCATTTTCAAAGGCCTTTCAGCATTACTCCAATTCATAGTATCACAACCAAGTATTTGTACATTTAAATTCGACGTATTAATATAAAGGCAAGCAAATTATAAACGCTCAAAGAATATAGAAAACCGGAAATTCTTTAGAAAGTTGAGAAGTTTTATAAAACAAAAAGGACAAGGAGGACATCATTAACTCAAACCAAAATTATATTTCAGTAACGCTATGTGTTGTCTATTGAAGACAAAGTAATTAGCGATGTCTTTCGATGCAAACTTTTACAAATGCAAAATTGCTTTTTTGTGTAAAAATACTCTCAAAACAGTATGTAACGCCGAATATTTTTTTGATTTTATGGAAATATGTAAAATTATGAAATTTATTGTAAATATATGAAATAGACTCTCTAAAAAGCTGATAAAACCAAAAAAGGTCCGAAAGTTAAGCCAAACATTGATGATTTAGCGCTTTACGTATGTAGGTCTTATACATCATAGCTTTCAAATAGTTCGGTCTTAGCTTTCCAGATGAAAGTAAATCTAGAAAAGTGCTTCGGACACACGAAATTCTTAAAGTGGTTTTCCATTTTTCAGCGCATAAATTACTCCATGATACCATACGGGAGCTAGGACTGCAGACTGAAAAATTCATTGTTGGCAAGGGACCATCCAAGGATACTACTGTGTATGTACGCGGAGAACATTTGCGCCATCAGGATTTAGGTGGTATTAAAACACCATATAAGCTACATCCCAATGAAAGAAAACCAGTTAATCAACTACAATGGTACATACTTAATTCAGTTTATTCGAACTTTTATATAAAAATGTAAAATAAAAAAGATACCGAACTCCAAGGACAATTAAAAACGGAAATTCGACAGTTGTTATCCATTCGTTAAATGTGTTTGAACTTTTGATTTTGCCATTTGATTAGGGACTTTCCGTTTCGAATTTTCCTCGGAGTTCGGTATTTTTGTGATTTTACTTTTTCCTTATCAAATGACAAAATCACAAACAAATTGAAAATAACTTTCATATTCTTGACTTGATACAGGCATTTCCTTATGTAGAAACTGGTGGTTTAAACCTGTTTTATAGCTATCTAAACCTCTCACTTGTATGACAGTCGTAATAATAGGTGTTCAATTGGGAAATGATTTCATTGTTCGTAATTCGACTTTACTTTCGCTTAATTAAAAAATATTATAGTCTTATAATCTTCAGATTGACATCATTAAAAATTATTGATATATCAGAAATATCAAATTCATTTTCACATCTAGGAAATGGGATTTACAATTATACATGCTCTTTAATCTGAAAGAACCTTACATTGGTTCCAAAAAGATCTTTTGATTAAGTCTGTCTACAACTAAGAGTTGACTACTACACCGACAGATAATAGAGCGCTCAATGCAGGAGCCTTCTCAATTATAATAAATAACTAGTTGTTAAGGTGGTGGCCACAGACCACAATTAAATTCTCTATTAGTTCTTTATAACATTTTGTTTCATTAAAAAAAATGCTCCGGTTCTTTTTGTCAAATATTTTGTGTGTGTAAAGTACAGTACTAGTCCAAACATATATCAAACATTCAGAAATATCGCTCCCCAGCATCTTACAAATTTAGCCAATACACATCCATACCCCTATGGACAAGTCAAGAGATGTTCCGAAAACTGTGAATATCACCTTTTTGCACCTGGCCTAATTACTCTTTCCATATCAAAATCAGTTAAAATACAACATCCAAAAGTTTATTTCACCTCTCTTCTTTCATTTCCATCCAAAAAAATCTAAGAAATGAGTGAGGAAGGGAAAGAAAAAAAATTAAGAAAAAATACACTCTAATTAAAAGGAACTATATTCGTGGACAACGAAAAGCAGGATCATTAATTGTAGTCTTTGGCCTATTAGGGGTCTAAACCTTGACCAATTCTAATAAAACTTAGTATGATTTAAGCTTAGTGTATTATAAAACAGTTTACAAAGTTTCAAAGCCATATGATACCAATTATAAAAATTGTGGCATTTTTTATATCTGAACTTTGGGTGCTGAATTGTGGCGTTGAATTAGAATAATTTCAACTATCAAATTTGGGCTTCTAAAAACCAAAATATACCAAAACTTACACTTTTCAATGTCTCTATGTATAAGTTATCACCTATTAAAAGCAACAGATAGCATACTTCATGTTTCAGACTTATAAAAAATGGCCAGAAGTAAATTTCATATGGGCCTGTGCCAAAAAATAGAGGTTTTCAAATGAAGTGAGGCCTTATATGCAATGTAATATTTTTCACTTACCACAATTTTCTGAAGTTGCTAAGTTATAAAAAAACCTTTTACATGTTATAAATGTACTTTTAATGGAAATATAAGTTTCAAATAGCATAACACATGTGAATAAAATGGTCTTCAGCAATGTCAAGCTTAAAAAAACAGGTTGTCAATTTAGGTCGTTCCCCACATTTGCATATTAAAAAGCATATAAATGATATGGGAGATGAAGATATGCTTCTTTTTGCTCAAATCTTTGCTCAGATATGATAAAACATGGAGCCTGGATGTAACAAGACTGTCACTTTCAACTATATATGTAGACAGTATGATCATCTAATGCAAAGTTATTTACTTTACTTTTTAAAACCGGCATGAAATTTCAGCCTCAAAAGGCCAATATTTTAACCACTAGCTATCAAACAAAAGAAAATAAAGGTAGTCTGTGAAACAGACAAGGTCAAACAACCAGTAATACGTGCTTTTGATACAGTTTCAGTGAAATCTGCTAAAAGGAATTCAACTTGTATGTGCATAGAACCTCATTTTTCACTTGCTTCATACTGACCGTTAGACTAGGACCATTAAAGCAGCACATTTTGCACTCTTGTTCTGATTTTATCTACTTTTTTTGTATGTTTAGTGTTCAAAAATGAGTTAAACATCTACATTAGATACCACAAACACAAGTAGAAAATCAGAAAAACCTGTGAGAGGGAAAGTAAGCATGCTACTTTTGTAAAAATATTGAAACAACTGAAAAAGTTCAATTTTGGGCATGTAGGCTGAAATGTCACTTTTTTACAAAATTTCTATCAAATAAAAGTGGAAATCATTTATTCTCATGTAGTTTGACAAATTAATACCAATAGATCATTCAGGGAAGTTGTCAAAGTACAAATTTAATATTTCCTGAATTTCACCTCTTAGGCCACAGACCACAATTAAATTCTCTATTAGTTCTTTATAACGTTTTGTTTCATTAAAAAAAATGCTCCGGTTCTTTTTGTCAAATATTTTGTGTGTGTAAAGTACAGTACTAGTCCAAACATATATCAAACATTCAGAAATATCGCTCCCCAGCATCTTACAAATTTAGCCAATACACATCCATACCCCTATGGACAAGTCAAGAGATATTCCGAAAACTGTAAATATCACCTTTTTGCACCTGGCCTAATTACTCTTTCCATATCAAAATCAGTTAAAATACAACATCCAAAAGTTTATTTCACCTCTCTTCTTTCATTTCCATCCAAAAAAATCTAAGAAATGAGTGAGGAAGGGAAAGAAAAAAAATTAAGAAAAAATACACTCTAATTAAAAGGAACTATATTCGTGGACAACGAAAAGCAGGATCATTAATTGTAGTCTTTGGCCTATTAGGGGTCTAAACCTTGACCAATTCTAATAAAACTTGGTATGATTTAAGCTTAGTGTATTATAAAACAGTTTACAAAGTTTCAAAGCCATATGATACCAATTATAAAAATTGTGGCATTTTTTATATCTGAACTTTGGGTGCTGAATTGTGGCGTTGAATTAGAATAATTTCAACTATCAAATTTGGGCTTCTAAAAACCAAAATATACCAAAACTTACACTTTTTAATGTTTCTATGTATAAGTTATCACCTATTAAAAGCAACAGATAGCATACTTCATGTTTCAGACTTATAAAAAATGGCCAGAAGTAAATTTCATATGGGCCTGTGCCAAAAAATAGAGGTTTTCAAATGAAGTGAGGCCTTATATGCAATGTAATATTTTTCACTTACCACAATTTTCTGAAGTTGCTAAGTTATAAAAAAACCTTTTACATGTTATAAATGTACTTTTAATGGAAATATAAGTTTCAAATAGCATAACACATGTGAATAAAATGGTCTTCAGCAATGTCAAGCTTAAAAAAACAGGTTGTCAATTTAGGTCGTTCCCCACATTTGCATATTAAAAAGCATATAAATGATATGGGAGATGAAGATATGCTTCTTTTTGCTCAAATCTTTGCTCAGATATGATAAAACATGGAGCCTGGATGTAACAAGACTGTCACTTTCAACTATATATGTAGACAGTATGATCATCTAATGCAAAGTTATTTACTTTACTTTTTAAAACCGGCATGAAATTTCAGCCTCAAAAGGCCAATATTTTAACCACTAGCTATCAAACAAAAGAAAATAAAGGTAGTCTGTGAAACAGACAAGGTCAAACAACCAGTAATACGTGCTTTTGATACAGTTTCAGTGAAATCTGCTAAAAGGAATTCAACTTGTATGTGCATAGAACCTCATTTTTCACTTGCTTCATACTGACCGTTAGACTAGGACCATTAAAGCAGCACATTTTGCACTCTTGTTCTGATTTTATCTACTTTTTTTGTATGTTTAGTGTTCAAAAATGAGTTAAACATCTACATTAGATACCACAAACACAAGTAGAAAATCAGAAAAACCTGTGAGAGGGAAAGTAAGCATGCTACTTTTGTAAAAATATTGAAACAACTGAAAAAGTTCAATTTTGGGCATGTAGGCTGAAATGTCACTTTTTTACAAAATTTCTATCAAATAAAAGTGGAAATCATTTATTCTCATGTAGTTTGACAAATTAATACCAATAGATCATTCAGGGAAGTTGTCAAAGTACAAATTTAATATTTCCTGAATTTCACCTCTTAGGCCACAGACCACAATTAAATTCTCTATTAGTTCTTTATAACGTTTTGTTTCATTAAAAAAAATGCTCCGGTTCTTTTTGTCAAATATTTTGTGTGTGTAAAGTACAGTACTAGTCCAAACATATATCAAACATTCAGAAATATCGCTCCCCAGCATCTTACAAATTTAGCCAATACACATCCATACCCCTATGGACAAGTCAAGAGATATTCCGAAAACTGTAAATATCACCTTTTTGCACCTGGCCTAATTACTCTTTCCATATCAAAATCAGTTAAAATACAACATCCAAAAGTTTATTTCACCTCTCTTCTTTCATTTCCATCCAAAAAAATCTAAGAAATGAGTGAGGAAGGGAAAGAAAAAAAATTAAGAAAAAATACACTCTAATTAAAAGGAACTATATTCGTGGACAACGAAAAGCAGGATCATTAATTGTAGTCTTTGGCCTATTAGGGGTCTAAACCTTGACCAATTCTAATAAAACTTGGTATGATTTAAGCTTAGTGTATTATAAAACAGTTTACAAAGTTTCAAAGCCATATGATACCAATTATAAAAATTGTGGCATTTTTTATATCTGAACTTTGGGTGCTGAATTGTGGCGTTGAATTAGAATAATTTCAACTATCAAATTTGGGCTTCTAAAAACCAAAATATACCAAAACTTACACTTTTTAATGTTTCTATGTATAAGTTATCACCTATTAAAAGCAACAGATAGCATACTTCATGTTTCAGACTTATAAAAAATGGCCAGAAGTAAATTTCATATGGGCCTGTGCCAAAAAATAGAGGTTTTCAAATGAAGTGAGGCCTTAT